AGAGGGTGAAGTGGAAGAAGATGAAGTGGAGACGGAACCCACGAGAAAGCGTCGTCAAGGAAAGAAAAGAACCGTCTCCGATGTCGAAGAAGAAGAGCTGGTTCAGGTCCCTGTTTTTAAGGCGCATCATGATTCGTGGGCCTCGCTGGAGCAGTCTCTCAAGGAATACATGGAGGCGACGCGCCAAAAAATCGTGGTGAAAGAGGTGATCAATGTAGCCCGCAGGAATGCTGATCTTCGGCGCCAAGTGAGGTACCAAGGGCTTCCTGACTCAGAGTCGCCTCTCGTCCCTGCAGAGATGGAACCTTATCAGCGCAAGTTTATCTGTACGCATGGGTGGTCCGAACGTGACAGATCAACGGGAAAGCGGACGTCACACAAGCTGAGTACTACCGATTGTCCGTTTCAGATGCTGGCTCAAGCTACCAAGCGTAGTGACGGTCAATGGGGCGTTGTGATGAAGCGTGAAGTGTACGCCCATAATCATCGTGTCTCCGAAGACATTTACAGGTCTTATCCGGGTATTCGCCAGGTTCCGGCGGACTCAGGCGGCGTTAGCACTAAAAGAGTACAATAACGGGATGAAACTACGCGCTCTTTTAAGAGATAACGACGTCTGCGATGTGGTGTCTACTCTATGGATGATCATGCCTGGAGTTCGCGAAGTTGGGTCTTTCCTTACTACCTTTCCACTCAACAAGAATGGTGAGGGAAGGTCAATTCAGTGGCGCGTCGACGGAGATTACGTGCCAGATCGAGTGCGATTCAGGCTAGTCGAATCGCTTGTTGATGATGCGTTGGATAAGCTGAGGGGCGGATTGGCGCTAGATGAAGAAATTGAGTTGGACAGGGACGGTGAACGAATGGGCAGCATTGAGAGTTACGTGGTGTCAATTGAAAAAGTTGGTCAGTTCACCAGAGAGCAACTGGAAGCTATGAAATCCTTGTGGGGGCTACAAGATACTTGTCGCAATGCTGTTCTTTGCTGTACCTGGTTGAATAGCACTGTTAAACCCGCGGTCAGTGACCCCGCTTCAGCGGGTATTATAATGGGAAAGATACTGGAGTGTTGGCCGTATACACCGCTGGTTGGGTTCGGATTCGACCTGACGTACAACAATCTCTTTTGCTTTCGAGATTCCGCTTGGCTAAACGATAATGCCATGCGTGCTTTTGCGGTTTGTCTCGCACGGTACAAGAACAATTGTACAGTTGTCATTCCGCCCCCCAAAAAAGCCAAAGATGCCAAGAATGGAACCCAACCAAAGGCCACCAAAAGTCGTATCTCTACAAGCACGCTCGACAAAGTTGGTGAAAGTGTTGCCTCGCACCAATTCGTGCTTCTTCCTATCAATTTTGGTGGCACGCATTGGGGATGCCTCGTGGTTAAGCGAGACACCAAGGTTATCAAGATGTACGACAGCATGGGCGGTAAGAGAAACAAGAAACGGTTGCAGAAGATGGCTGAAGAAATCCGTACTGGGCCTCTACGTGACGATTCCTACGAAGCTTTGGAAGTAACCGAGCCGGTGCAAACGGACAGTGACAGTTGCGGTGTGTTTGTGTGCCGGTTTTTTTTTTTTTGACTTGCGTGAGCAGCGAATCCCCCAGCGATGTGTCCCCAGCTGGTATTACGAAGCTGAGGTGGGAGATGCTGCACGCAGTCATGAAGTTGAGGCCGCGCTAGTTATTCGTGCATATCCGTCAGTGCAACATGCATGCAAACACTAACGATTTTAATACATGGTCAATTCTTGGGCAAAACCTGGACAATGGCTGTATGGTGCAGAAGTCGATAATGGTACATTCGTGGTACGCCACCATGAGCGTGAACGCCGACACACCGCAGCGGCCATCACTCTAGAATTTTTCTAAGTAGCGCACACATGATTTACCCAGGTTTTAAAACCTGTAAAATACCTGGGTAAACGGTGAAGAAAACGATTGGTTGCGGTGAGTTCCGACGTCGACTGCCTACGATCATTTCCACTTTAGCCTAAGTCGTGCACACATGAGTATCCCAGGTTTTATACCTGGAAAATACCTGATTTGGTCATTTAAGTTCCCGAATGTAAATTACCAAATCTGATTCCGTTCTCTATAAGGAAACCTGGGCGAAACCTGGCCCCCTAGCTGGACTATTCATGGAGAATCAGATTTCTGAGTATTTTTTCAATCTGGGAAACCTGGACGCTAAGGTCGTCCTTTTACTATTTTATGAAGAACATATTTGCACAAAACATATATTTTTCTTTATATTTTTTCACCATACAAAAGATTAAACAATGCACCCATCCACCTCAACTGCGAAGTACGATCCGCTACGAGCTAAATGCACCGTCTTCATCGGGTTCTCTACCTCGTAAGTAAATGTTGAGACCACCTTGCAGTCCTTGTCTACTGTAGTCACCTCAACGCTCCAGTTGTGAAGTTTTGAAGCGGCATAAATCTCCAACTCTCCTGGATCTGTGTCTCCGTTTTGAATATTCTCCAGATACTGCGCGCCAATGAGACCGTCGAGATCGTCCAGGGTTTTATGTAGTTCACCAGCTCGTAAACAAAGTCGTCTATAGCAGTTGATGTGCCAAAGAGTAAACAGTAGAACAAGCTTGGCCTCTCGTTCTCGGGCAGGTACCAGGAAGGAGCGGATACGCAGAGCTGCTCTCGATCATCCGCTTCATTAAGGAGATATTGATACGATGCGTGTCAGTTCTCCATGTCAAGATCTGGTTCCAGAAGGTCTCTTAATTAAGGGCCGATGAAGCTTGTCTTGCTTAAAGCTTGACTTTGGTACAATCCCGCACAGTGTAAATGCCTTCTTGCTTGACGAGTTGCTACCCAGTCCAGCGTCCATTCCGCGACAGTTTTGTAATGGGGGATCTTGGGATTTCCAGCAGCGGTTTGCATAGCCGGATCGATCAACGCTCTGCTAATGTAAGCATCATACTTGTTCCGGTAGAACGATTGATAACTACGATTGACAGCTACGTCAAGTGGCTGTAATATACTGGTGAGGTTGGGCGGTACCACCACGACAAAGATGTTGTAGCGCTCCAATAGTGTAGACTCTGCCAAAGCTACGTGACACGCGTAAGAATCGATCAAATAGAGCACCGGCTCCCCAAAGAATTGGGTCTCCTTCCTTAAACACACCACCGCTTTAGAGAAGCGCAGCAGGATATCTTCGTTCCACATGCCAGTACTATTCACATCTACCAGAACACCATCAGGGCACTCCGGACGATTCTTTAGTTTTGAAAAGAGAAGGTGGGGCTTCAGGATGATTCCAGAGGCTGTAATGGCAAACGTAGCAGTGAAGCGCTTATGACTTGTCCCTCCCTTTTTTGAAAGTACCTCACGGGATCCACGAGTCGTGATGGTCGTCTTAGGCTCGGTTTCAAAGTACCTTGGTACCTGGTTCATGTTAACGATGTTGTCAAGCTTGATATTGTGCAGATCGATGAGTTGGTGAACACGATGAATGAAATCACGGCAAATCTCTCCAGCATTATCAGGCAGTATTCGTGTAGTCGTCTGACGCCGAGAGACGAGGTTCTTCCGACGTTTAAATCGCGCCAACCAACCAGTAGACGCATCAAAGCCCGATACCTGAGGACTATGTAGCTCTCGGTAGATGTTCAGAGCTTGCAGCCGGATGTAAGCGTCCTTGACCCACAGTCCTCTAGTATTTCTGTCTAAAATCCACTCATGTAGACGACATTCTACATCACCGTGCTTGGCAGGTCTCCCCCCCCCCACCCAGTCTTCTTGTTGTACGCGTGGTAATATCACGGTCTCTCAGAGCTTCCTTTAGTTGTCGCGGAGATCCCACCACCCTCGAATTGTTCCTGGAGCTATTTTGTGTTTTTTCCTTGGAGCAAAGAAGCCTTTTCTTTTGACGCCTTTGGCGTGTTGGGACAGGATATCCAGCTTCTCTTTGATAGTATAGTTTCGGCGCTTGCTTTTCACCATGGCAACTTGGGAATGAGCAACCGACAAGAGGAACGAGAAAAGTTGTGGTCAAACACTGACAGCCAACCACCTCCTATTACAGTTATAATTACACATGTTACTGTTGTATGCAGTAGGCGTTGTATTTTGCTATGTGTTCTATACGAATATTTTATCGCGAAAGATAAAATTCCATTATTTTATTAAAGCGCCTAGGCGTAGGTGTCTGTCTGTCAGTCCGTCCGTGGCTAGGGTTAATAAAACTCACGCTAATGCGGGTGTTCTACTGGCTGCCGAGCGCAGCGAAGGCGACCCCCATTGGCTAAAAGCGACATTGTGTTTTGTACACACTTTATGTGGACTACACATCGTACTTAAAAGCACTACTTAAATTTCATTTTGCTCTCATTTTCAGCTGCGGTCTGCAAGGCTACGCAAAGGGCGCTGCCTGTGTGCGCGTTAGTGAGCATTAGGATAAAATGTCGATGATCACACACGTACGTTATCGTCTTAGGAGCTGTTGAAAAAGAATTGTAGGCTTTGGTGACTCATATTTCGAAACTTTAGTACTTTTTGGTAATAAAATGATATTTTAGGCTTCGTAGTACTTTTGTAACAAGTAATCTTTTAAAAATGTTTTGCGCAGTACTATTCAAAATATTTTTATATTATTGCATTGCATTTATTTGTAGTAGTAGTACACAAAATTATCATATAAGCTTAAGAAAAGCACAGCTTTACTACTATTATTAATGTGTAAGCTTTAAAATATTACTATTGGGGCTTCCCACCCCACACACCACTGCACACCACACCGCCTCCGGAAAAAAGTATCATCCTCCTCTGTATTTGCGCGCGTAGTGTGCGACCTTAAGATATTGTGCAAACTTTCCAACAATGTATGTAGCGTACATAAACAATGGAAACAGCGTTTGCAATTGAGCTAGCGCGGAGGCACGTGGATAAACAAGAACACAAATCACGGAGGAACACCGAGTCAGACTATGTTCACGATGCGATAGAAGGAACAACTTCAAATACGGAAGGCCACGGACGATAAAGAATTAGGACACGATATTTCATGCGAAGCACGAACCACGGAAGAGCACGCAGTCATGAAACATACAGAGCGGCACGAAATGACGGAGGTGGGTGAGAGCTGAAATAAAGACACCCCAACGTTACGAAAAACACGGGCCACGGAAGAAAGCGCACGTTCGCAGTCACGGTAGACTACGTAGCTGTGTGAGTGCACGGAGTTCTCCCACCACGGTACAGTACGAAGCACGGTCGACAGATTAAACACAAAGCCACGGGAGAGCATAAGCGGGAAACCACCGAGCTTTGGAACACGATATTAGTGTAGAACCGGAGCTCACGGAGACCCACAGCACGATACCACGGTAGCTAACGATCGCCCAGACGACAGACCAACCCCGACACCACAAGTTAGTACGATAGCACGAACTATGCCACTAAACATGGGATAAATCAGCCGCGGAGCTATAGCCAGAAAACCATCGAGCCGCGGAGATCAATACCAGTGTAGAACATGAGCTTACCGAGCCACGGAGGTCAGTAGTAGATTAGAACTCGATCGCACGGACGGCGGACCATCCAGGAAATACACGGGGGGCGCTCGGGGTGACCACGATTGCACACCGTGGAGCATGATGCCATTGTAGAAAACGATAAGACGGGCAACGCAGATGCACTACGCGAGCACAGCACCATAAATATCATTACCACACCGCGATTGCACGATAGCGTGATAACGCGGTCGATGGAGCCTCACCAGGCGAGCACGATACAGGAGCGACGAAACAACACGACTGCGTGGAGGCACGAATCACGGAAGAGCACCCTTCGGCTAGCGTACCAGCGATGGGAGGCCAACAGTCACGAAAGCCTGTGTACCACATCACCGGTGCAGCCCACGTAAAACGTTTGAGAGCTGGGAATATTTAGCAGCCACGAAAGAGCCCGTACTAAAGAGCATGGACCAAAAAGGGAGAAAGTGCATATCCACTAAGCAGCGTGGGCCACGGCTGACCAGGGAACCACGAAGACAGGAAGGACAAGGAAGAGCACGGGCCACTGAAAAACATGACATCCAACCTGTAGAACGGGGTAACGGTAGCTTACCAAACCACGATACTGTACGGGGCCGCATGAGACTACAGAATGGTAAGTGGTTTAAGTACACGACATCACGATGCACTGGGGTGGACGAATTCACGCGCAGCATAGAAGTACAGGAATCTAAGCAAAAGCACGGGACACACTAAAGCACGAGAAGCTGCGGCCACCTCATCTCCGGCAAACCATGCTACTCCGCCGCGTAGCGGCGGCGGCCGGCTATTCTTACCCCTTTAGTGGTCTGTGGTCTGCGGCCGGCCGTCCGTCAGTCCGTCCGTTATGGGCCTGTTTGTTAGCATGAACATTTTCCCACGCATGGCTACACTCCACCTGTTCAGTACTTCAACGTCCCATCCTTTCGACTGCACCTATCTGTGTGACTCGGCTTGACTATGCTAAATTTGCACTTTTAGCCATGAATAGGGTAAATAAATGTAACGCAAATACGCGCATTCTACTGGCTGCCGAGCGCAGCGAAGGCGGCCGCAATTGGCAAAAATTGCATTATGTGGTGTACATGCACTATATGGTCGACACATCGTACTTAAATGCACCGTTCAAATTTCATTTTGCTCCCGCGGAGCTACTCTCGACGCA